ATTCCAAGGACTGTACAGTCCATGGGATCACAAAGAGTCAGACACAACTGAGTGACTTTCACTGTCACCTTCTTTCTTCCCTGGTCTGGGAGAAAATTTGAGAAATAAAGCCTTAAGGTGCCAGAGACATGATGTTTATAGTAAATGTTTCAGTGCTTAAACCTACAAACATATTGGCTTTGGACTATTACAACTTAGGATGCAACAAACACTTGGATATTCAAAATCATTAACTAGACATGTCACCCAAGAAAATGTACAGATGGCAAATAAGCACATGAAAGATCCTCAAGATCATATGTCATTAAAGAAATGCAAATTGAATCAAACACCCAACTTGATTTTGAGGCGTGAAGGATCAGGTATGAAGTTACTCCTTGATGGTGACTGATGTCTGTGATACCTTGGTCTGGAAAACTATATGAAAAGTTGAAGATAGAAGTGACCTTAATAGTCTTATTTTCTTATGAAGTATATTCTATCAGTAAGCTACCAAAGAAACAAAATGGACAAGCTGTTTGACTACACCGGGTATAATGCAACATTTAAGAGCTCATCAAGTTGGTGTTTGAGTTCCATCAAATAATAATGGATGACCTTGGCTGAGACTTTTCCAATCTATAAAATGGGACCTCTATATATAAAATGGGACCTCTATATATAAAAAATGGACCTCACAGTGTTCTTTTAAGATTAAATGAGACACCATGCACAAAATACTCACTCTAGTACCTAGTATATAATGATATTTATGTTAACTGTTATTGTGATTCTCCACACAATCACAGCTTCACAACACGGTCTAGAGTTGCATCCCTTCCGATGCATCTCATCGTTCAGGCCTTGGGTCTATTTGCTGTTGTTGTTTAGTCGTGTCCAGCTCTTTGCAGCCCCAAGGACTGCAGCACACCAGGCTTCCCTGTCCTTCACCATCTCCTGAAGCTTGCTCAAACTTACATCCATTCAGTCAGTGATGCCATCCAACCATCTCATCCTCTCTTGTCCCCTTCTCCTCCTGCCTTCAATCTTTCCCAGCATCACAATCTCTTCCAATGAATTGGCTCTTCACATCAGGTGGCCAAAGTACTGGAATTTCAACTTCAGCATAAGTCCTCCCAATGAATATCCATTGGTTTCCTTTAGGATTGACTGGTTTGATCTCCTTTCTGTCCAAGGGACTCTCAAGGGTCTTCTCCAACACCACAGTTCAAAAGGATCAATTCTTCAGCACTCAGCTTTGTTAACGGTTCAACTCTCACATCCATACATGACTACTGGAAAAACCACAGCTTTGATGAGACGGACGTTTGTGGGAAAGTAATTTCTCTGATACATGGGCAAATACCCGAAGTGGTGAAAAAATAAGTTTCAAATGTTTGATGTTTTAATACAACCCAGGGGAAGGTTCCAGTTCAAGCAGTCTATAGGTAATTGAGCCTCACTGCCTTCCTGAGGGCATGGCAGGTGAGCACAGGAGGAAGAAGATGGAGTTTTGCCAGGTTAGCCTTCTTCTGGCACGGAGATTTCTTGGACGGCGCTATAGCTCTAAACTGTGTGTTTGGTGGATGAAGGAGTGGAAGAAGTGAAGGAAAAAAATCAGGAAAGAGAAGTTAAGAGTAACTGAGAAAGCACCATGCCCACACAAAGAGTCTTCTTAGCTACCAGGAGGTCAAATGAACTATTTTTTTTAAAGTCAAAATCATATAATTTTCTGTGCTTCTTTATCCCCTTTTCAGCAGAGGAGTTGTTAATTTGCTGTCTTTCTTTCATAAAATGGTACATTTAAATCATCCCTGAACCACACATGTGTCTATATCATTCTCACAATTCAAGATTTACACTTACATATTTCATAAAAAAAAAAAAACATGTCTTTGCTGTGTCATTTACTCAGATGCCACAAAGCCTTTGCTTATGACCCTCTCGTTGACTAAATTGTCCTTCCCCTCCTCTCACCACTAAAATCAGACTCATATTTCAAGCCTCCCCCAACATGCCATTTGCTGTGGACATACCCAAGAAAAATTAATGACCATTTTCTCTTTCATCCTATTCTACTTAGTTGAAAAAAATGCTGGTATAATTTAAATATTTGTCTACAAGTCTGAATGCTTGCTTAAACTTTAGTTCTGATAGTAAACCTATAGTAGGATCTCAAAAGTCTTTATTAGAAAATGATGCAACTCCATGTTTTGAGCATCAATTACCTTTCAAATATTAGAGTTTTCCTGCAAATATAATCTAAATCTCTCCTGGTCTTTTTGAGCATGTTCTCTGATTCCCTTTTTTCCTCTAAAAGTGAGACAATTTTATTACTTTTACCCTTATCAAAAAAGTAAAATATTATTTAGCGAGACAATAAAACATTCTCAATAGGGAAGAAATGAAATATCTCATAATCCAACCACCAAAGCACAAAATAATTCATATTTTGGTGGAAATCTTTCCAGAATCCCTTGTTTCTCCCTCCAACACAGACACACACAAAGGAAATACAACTCAGTCCATTTTTACTGCCATTGGTAAGCTTCGTGGGCCTCTCTGGTGACCCAGCTGGTAAAGAATTCACCTGTAATGCAGGAGACCTGAGTTCAATCCCCGGGTTGGGAAGATCCCCTGGAGGAGGGCCTGGCAACCCACTCCAGTATTCTTGCCTGGAGAATCCCCAAGAACAAACGGCTACAGTCCATGGGCTTGCAAAGAGTCAGGCAGGACGGAGTGACTAAGTATACAAGTACTCAGTAAGCTTCTTATACGCATTTCCTCATAAAATATTTCTTTCCACTTTGGGTCTCTGAAGTATATCTGTTGATTTAACAAGTTTCTGCTGCTCGTTAACTCCACAGGAGACCCCTCTGTTAAAAAAAGAGTTGAGCTAGTTCTTCCTCAGCTTAGTTCATTACCAACACAACTGTCAGCTAAATCCTTATTCCAGTTGATTATATAAAAGGTAGATAAAGCACAGCAGGGGTTTCAGATTTTAAGTGGACTGGGCAGCATTGCAGGCACTAGAGCAATAGCTTCTTGCTTATAATCTGAGTCACAGTGAAGTGGACAGGACAGGGCACTCACATGAGGAAGGAAATAGACAATTTAGGGAGCACGGAGGCAGGGGTGTTGTATGCCGTGGGTGCAAGTGCGGACCCATGGGATCCCACAGCAAAGGCTCAAAGAGGACTCATCTGCATCCTTCCTCCACCATGGAAAACTCTGGCTGAAGGAAGTTCATCAACTTGTAAAAGTCTCGTAACACATGAAGTGACGGAATTGCAGAGTCAAACATGGTCCCTCTGGTTTGACATTCCATATTCTGTAAAAAGCATTTCCCACGGTGGCCGCAAGAATACCAAACTTAGGGCTCTAACAATGATCTCTTCCTGCTGGCTCAGATGGTAAAGAGTCTGCCTGCAATGCAGGAGACCCAGGTTCAATCCCCGGGTCAGGAAGATCACCTGCGGAAAGAAATGGCTATCCACCCTAGTATTCTTGCCTGGAGAATTCCATGGACAAAGGAGCTTCATGGGGTACAGTCCATGGGGTTGCAAAGAATTGGGCATGATTGAGTGATTAATACTTTCTTCACTTTGATAAGTAATTATACAGAGAACTACAAATCTAAGCACTAAAAAAGACCTAATTATGCTAATAGCTAAGCAACTTTAAATAAAAAGTGTAGAAATGAAAGGAAAACTGTGGCTAACATTTTTGTAACAATGGCAAAAGTATGAAGGTGAGTGCAAAATGCTTGATATGCATTAACATCATTTAATTCTCATGGATTCCCATGAAGTAGTTAGTACTACACGAAGGAGAGTTTGCATTTGCCTAGATACAGCCACTCTATCCGTCTTTCCCCAGCCTTAACTGTGAACTTGTGTGGACAATCAGCTCCATCCTCTGACTGTCAGTTGGGTTCAGACAATGGAAAAAACCTGGCAGGACATCGAGAGGAGGAAGGAGAGAAAGGTCAGGGTCTTTGTATTCCTTGTTCCCTTTCTACAAAGATCACAGCTGGCTGAGTCCTTGGGTAAGTAAGTCTAATCAGGCAGCACTTTCTATGTGGTTCTCTGTGATTTCAGGTTCAGATAATCACTCCATTCATCCACCCTCCAGGTCCACAGGTCATGAAAGACCATTGAGGTCACTAGCCCTGTGGATTCCCTGTTCACTGCCCACAACTATGTGAATACAACCTGCTGATGACACGCACTGCATTTCATCCCATTTATAAGTAAGAAATGGATATTCAGAGACATGAGATGGCTTTTCCAAAGTCACAGAGGTAGTAACTGTTAGAACTCGGATTCAACTCCAGACCAAATAGCAAATCACAACCCACGCCATCCTGCTGTCTCGTGGTGATTCTTCTCCCAGCCGGCAAAATCCAAATTTCAACCCCTGTTTTCTCTGAAGTCCTTGATAGCCTGGTGACCCACAGAGCAATGAAAGAAATCCAACTCCTGGATCAGTGGGAAGCAGTAGTAATATCTTCAGCCACCACAGGAGAAAGCAAAATTTTATGAACCCAGGTCTAGTTAGCATTAAAAAAATTGCTATAAATGTTATCTTCAAATGTACACAGAGTGATTCACTTCTAAAATCCACCCATTAATGATAATAAGTATTTTCAAATATGAAAGAGGATATTTCAAGAAATTTCCATACTCTCACATTCCAATCCAGACTAATGAATGCCTGGATTGCCATTGTGGCTCTTAAATAGATAATACTGGACAAAATTAGAGGGAAGTAACAAAAGTCACTGGAGAATCCCAGGGACAGAGAAGCCCGGTGGGCTACAGGCCACAGGGTCACAAAGAGTCAGACACAACTGAAGCGACTTAGCACGTACCCAGAGGGAAGTGGCAAAAGTCAAAGGATCATCTTACAGAACAGGAAGTCTTTAAAAGGTTATTTCTCTGAAAGGCATTGGTCTCCTTCCTGGGAAAAGGGGGAGATTGTGATATCAATAATCCCACACTACCAAACAACCAGTAAGATGAGGTAATAAAACAATGATTCTAGAACTTCCCTGGTGACTCAGTGGTAAAGGACCTACTTGCCAAAAGGAGACATGGGTATGATTCCCTGGGTTGGGAAGATCCCGTAGAGAAGGAAATGGCAACCTATTCTAATACTCTTGCTGGGAAAATCCCATGGACAGGGCAGCCTGGCAGGCTACAGTCCATGGGGTCCCAAAGAGTTGGACATGACTTAGCAACTGAGCTTAGAATGTTTTATACTCTAATATTCAGAATTATTTTCAAATTTTATCCATAATTCTTTTTAAATATTGATTATTGCTTTTTCAGTGTAAATTTTCAGTGTTTTATTTTTTATTATATATTGAAAAATTATCCAAATGATGATATTTTCATGAATTGGTGTTCCTCACCTATTACTGATTATATTCATGTTAAAATTTAAAATACATATTCCACATTTTCTTCAATATACCTTATTTCCTAAGGAATAGTATCTGCTATTTAATACTATGTTATTAAACATGAATGAATAACTTCAGTCCAGCCTAGTAACTGTTGTGAACTACTGGATTTCTCTTACTTTAGAACATTTATCAATTTATTACCTTGTATATTTTTCTAGATCTTAACCTTGACAAAAATCTTTACAAATCTAGTTGCATTTTACCTAATGAGCATTTTTTTTCACTTTGCTTTGTAGCATGTATTTATTGCTATTAGAGGATAATCACTTTATAGTGTTGTATTGGTTTCTACCACAACAACATGAATTAGCATATGCATATATATATATATATATGTATATGTATATGTATATNAACATGAATTAGCATATGCATATATATATATATATATATGTATATGTATATGTATATACATCTCCCCTCCCTCTAGAGCCTTCCTCTCAACCCCCACCCCATCCCACTCCTCTAGGTCTTCACAGTGTCAAGCTGTGAAGCAACTTCCTACTAGCTATCTACACATGGTAATGTATATATTTCAATGCTACTTTCAATTCATCCCACCCTCTCCTTCCCCTGCTGTCCATTCTCTATAGTTCTAGATTCCACACATATGTATTAATATACAATATTAGTTTTGATGGTTCTTCCCAATGCAGGGGATGTGGGTTCGATCCCTGGTTGGGAAACTAAGATTCCACATGCTGTGGGTCAACCAGTTTTAATTTTTGAATTGAAGTAGAGTTCATTTACAGCATTTCAGGCGTACAGAAAAGTGATTCTATTGTGTGTGTGTGTGTGTGTGTGTGCATGCTAAGTGGCTCAATTGTGTATAACTTTGCAACTCCGTGGGCTGTAATCTGCCAGGCTCCCCTATTCACAGAATTTTCCTGGCAAGAATACTGGAGTGGGTTTCTGTGCCCTTCTCCAGGGGATCTTCCCCACCCAGGGATCAAATCCAAGTCTCTTGTGTTTCCTGCATTGGCAGGTGAATTCTTTGCCTCTGTGCCACCTAGAAAGCTTGTATGTCAAAAGTATATTCTTTTTCAGATTCCATTACAGGTTATTACAAAATATTGAATATAGCAATTCCCTTGCTATACAGCAGATCCTTGATGTTTATCTATTTTATATACAGTAATCAGTATCAGATAATCACAAACAGATGTGGAGCTAGGGATTAACATTCCCATCCATAAGGCATAAGGTTTTTCACGGTCCTCTTGTGCCTGCCTCTCCGCCTTGTTGGTGTTCAGTCACTAAGTCATGTCAGGCTCTCTGCAACCCCATGGACTGCAGCACGCCAGGCTTCCCTGTCCTTCCCTATTCTTAACAGTCAATCTTCCACTACCAATTCCACTGTGTATTCTAGGTGAATCAAGATACTTGTAGGTAATTCTGAGTATTTCTGCATGTTTCTCATGCTACCTCAATTGCCTGGATTCCCTTCTCCTCCGTGCTGCCTTGTAAATGCCCTCAAAAATCTGATGACAACTGTTATCTCCATAACAGCACTATTAAATTACACCAGACTTTCAGTTAACATGGCGCACTGCACATTCTTCATCTCCTAGATATTAAGTGTATGTACCACTCAGCTGAGCTGGGTACTCTTTGAGTACTGTTTTTTTTTTTTTTCTTCATCTTTGCATCCCTAGAATATTGCTTGCATTGTTGACTCAATAAATGTCTACTGAATACATTTAGGAATGAATGATTGATGGAAAGCTTAAAGCAGAGAGCAGGGAGATTTCATCACTTAACTGAGGGAGAAACTATGAGTAACCTCAGATACTAAATACAATGTGGAATCTGTGTAGGATTTGGCATATGTATAGGATGAATTTCTAGCAAATAAATATTATAGAATTGTCTTAAGCTAGGAGGTGCATTGTGTTTATTCACTATCATCAAATGAATTTACTAAAACTGGTGTTTTGTGGCATACTATTTATTTCCTGTCACTCACATCATGCCTACCACAATGATGGGTCCTTAATCCTGTACTCTTGGGTTTCCTTGTTTGTCCACTGTAGTGGGTTCAATGGTGACTGCAGAGATAGCAGGTTCTAATCTTTAGAATTTGTAAATATTACCTTATTTGTAAAAAGTATTCACAAGTGTGACTAACTTAAGGATCTTGAGATGAGATCAACTTGCATCGCCGCATGGGTCCTATATACCATCACAATTGTCCTTTTAAAAGAATAGCAGAGGGAGATTCTGGGCTTTCCTCCACCTGCCAACACAGGAGATGAGGGTCCCATCCCTGGGTCAGGAAGATCCTCTGGAGAAGGAAATGGCAACCGCCTCCAGCATTCTTGCCTGGGAAATCCCATGGAGAGAGGAGCCTGGAGAGCTACCGTCCATGGGGTGGCAGAGCTGGACATGGTCGAGCAACTACACAACATCAACAGAGGGAGTTTTGTTGTACACATAGAAGAAGGGAAAGCAAAGTGATTACAGCGGAAGGGGTCCGAGTGGCATGGCCACGGACCACGGCAAGTCAAGAAATGCTAGCAGCCACCAGAAGATGCAAGAGGCAAGGAGTGTGTTGCTCCCTAAAGTTTTGGAGGCAACACAGCCCTTGTTGACCTTGAATTCTTGCTTTTGGAAGTCTGACCTCCAGAACTTGAAAGAATAAATCTTTGCTCTTTTAAGCCACCAGGTTTGTAGTAATTTGTTACAGCAGCCATTCTAACCTAACATAACCCGTAAAACTAAACCTTAACTTGCCTTCAAAACTCACTCATAATCCTAGTACTCATTGTCTAACAGGCACTGTTTCTAGATGCAGAAGATGAAAGAGAGAACAATTTTCTCTAAAGCTTCCCTATTTCATCCTTTTTATCCAAATGCAATTTTTACATCTTCCTCTGTGTTATCTCAGGTCCTAGTACTTAATCCCATTATGGACCTTATCACCTTATAATTTATTTTTACATCTACCATTCCTTGAGAAGAAGACCAATTTTTTTTATTCACTTCTCTTTCCCTAAGACCTTGAACAGAGTCTAGTTTAAGGCATATGTTCAGAAACTACATGGTGAGTTAAATTGAATTCAGTTTCAGTAATGCCTTTTCTAAAGAATAAAAGTTGTGTGCATGTGGCTCCATAGATGGCAAATTAAAACTATACACTTCCTTTTTCTGGAAGAGGCAATGTTAATGAAAGTCTGGCAAACTTTCAGACATTCAAAACATACACATTACAGAACAAATTTATATCTTTGGCAACAAAAACACAGACCATTATTAAGGTGTACTGAGATATACAATTGCATGGCCTGCTTTCAATTGTTCACTGGGACCATGGGAGGAACATTCTAAAGGTCCAGAAAAAAATAGAAGAACAGAATGTAAAGGGATTGGTAAATTGTTTTTTTTTAAATTCAATTAGAAAGTAATTAGGTTGAATGGCATGATTATATTTAATGGCTTGTCTACTGAATACCTTAGCCTGAGGCCAGTCCAGGTGAGAAGTGTGGTTCTGGAGTTCAGGAAGATGACGCTGCAGTGGGGTAAGAAGGATGGCATAATCATTTTATTTGATGGTGTTTTTCAATTGTCCTGATGGCCAATTCCAATGTTGTGACTTTGTGTTGCAAATAAAGAATGTTTGTCTTCTTTCTAAGCTTTCCTTCTCAGGCAATGCAAGCCCTCGAAATGTAGTCCCTACACTCCTGCCAACCACTGCTTGAAGAAATTTTTGCTTGTTCCCAACACCTTTATAGGATGGACCTTTAAGTGTATACTTCACAGGCAGTCACAGCCCTCGAAGTTCTATTCACCATGAAATTAAGAGTTGCAAGCTTATTGGAAAGGAAGTTAGAAGAGTCCAAAGGAAGTTCCTTTATCAAAAACATATTTTACATAGGTTATATGATTATTGGAATGGCACTTCTCTTGCCATGCCATTGCATACTAAACATTATTTTTTAACTTAGTTCACTTGTGGCATCTTAAAGGAGGAGAATGAAGATTGATGGGGCTTCATGACTCAAGCAGAGCCTTGACTCCCTCCATAGCTTTCCTAAAAAGAAGCTCCGTTTTCTCTTCTCACATGATGGGTTCTTATCAGCTTAGAGCTTCTGGAGCATTGCACCATGGGACATACTCATTTCTCATATAGCTAAAGCCCTCTGCAAAATGCCCTCTCCCCATTCCCTCCTCTTGCTATTTTCATGTTAGGCATTGCTTATGGTTGGCTTCCCAGGTGGCGCGGTGGTAGAGTCCACCTGCCAGTGCAGGGCTGCAGGAGACGTGAGTTTGATCCCTGGGTCGGGAAGATTCCCCTGGAGGAGGAAATGGCAACCCAGTCCAGTATTCTTGTCAGGATAACCCCATGGACAGAGGAGCCTGGCAGGTTATAGTCCATAGGCTCACAAAGAGTCCAACAGGACTGAGCTTATATTATAATACATAGAATAAAACTAATATCTTACTCTCTCTCTTTCCTCCTCAGTTTAGAAAACCATTTAAGCTTTTTATGGCTTTGCAAATGAAAGCCTGATCTTTCTCACCCAATAAATTATTCCTCCTTGTACGCATCCATTTCAGGCAAAAGCCACTATAAATCTGGAATTAAACAAATAAAGCCATCTTCCACGTGATGACTCAAAGACTGAGAAAAGCAAGGTTCTGAGTCACAGGAAGGATTTTAGCATTTTGTGGACAGATTTTTCTGTTTTGTTATTCAGCCTTGTGTAGGATTTAATGATCTGAATCGACTCTTTGTAAAACCCACAGATCCATCTACGCAAAGCAAAAATAAACAGACTTGTTAGAAAAGATCATAGCAATAGAAGGAACAGAGCACAATCATGTCTGCCCAGCATTGCAGGATTGTATGATGGAGGGTCTGATATTTTTAAGGTAAGCGAGCACATGATTACCCAACATGACCCCCTGAAATTGACCACAAATAGCAGTTATTACTATCACCTTAATTGTCATTTGTCACTAATGCTCTTGCCAGTATGTTTGGATCTGGAATAAATATTTGACTCATTAGAAATAAACAAATATGGCTCAGTCCCTTTAATATCTCATAATGTGATGGTAGGGTTGGCACCACTGTCAACATTTTGATTACCTTTTTCCACAGTAGGTTTAAAAAAAATTCAGACAGGCACTTGTGAGTTGGTCACTATTCAATATGTTCATTCAGTCATTTGCAAAAGAGGATTTAGTGAACACTGCTGAGGGCCAGGCACTATTTTAGGCACTGGGACTACCTCACCCACAGAGCAGACGTCTTCCTTTTGTGGAGCTTGTATTACTGGACTTTCCTGCTGTCTCTGACAGTAAAGAATCTGCCTGCAATGCAAGAGACCTGGGTTCAATCCCTGGGTCAGGAAGATCCCCTGGAGAAGGGAAGGTCATAATACAATAAATGTTCAAAAACATAAATGAATCATCTAGTGTGTTATAAGGTGACAGGTTTTTGAATAAAGCAGAAGTATGGCAAGAAAAATAGAACTCAAAGGCAGCAATCGCAGTATTGAAGAGGGTCATCAGGCTGAGCTTTATGGACAAAGATTGGAGTCAGTTTTAATGAGGCAGGGTAATTAGCTAGGCAGAAACCTGGGGGTGGGTGTGCTCCCAGCAGAAGAACATAAGCAAAGACCTTAGACAGGAAGGATGAACAACAGGTTTCTAGAACAGCTAGGATGTCAGTTTGATTGAAATGGAGGAAGAGAGAGGGGCTACAGAATAGAAGGATATTAGAAAAATTAGGGAGACAGATGACAAAGGCTGCTTGGATAGCAAAGAAGAGTCATATCAAATTCATTAAATATAAGTAATAATAGTTTTGCATCAGGACTGTACCTAACCTTGCAATGTTTTCCTAAGCAGGATTTGCTCCTTTTAAAATTACTACTTAAGCGACAACTATTCTACTGTTGGCGGAAGTCACAAAAATTATGTCTGGGCTCCTATAATCTTGTATCAAAAGTTTACACATCTTGCAAAGCTTTCAGTTTATGACATCTGTAAGCACAGGGCAGGAAACATCATCATCTCAACAGAAGGAAAAACAAGCACCCTGCTTCAGTCATCCCCCTGGGCTTTGATATTTTTTTTAAACATTCATGCTCTGTTCTATATCCAGAAAATGAGAATTAATACATTAGATTAAAAGAAAACAGCCCCAAGTGAGTGGACTGAGCCCAGGCAAGTAGGCCCAATTCTAAAATCCCTTTCAATAAAAGAAGAATTTTTGTTTGATTTTTATTTGTTTGTTTTTCCTTAAGAGAGTTGAAATAACAATATCTACCCTTTTGTGAGTGATTGCTGTGTGCTAGACACTATTTACATGAGTTACCACTTTAATTCCCACAACCATTCTACAAGAAGGCTATTATTACTTTTTCCCAATATTACAGGTAAGGAAGCTGAGGCACTGGGGGAAAAAAAAAAAAAATTGGTGACTTGTTTAGGTTGATGCAGTTGGTAAGCAACAAATCTAGGATTCTCGCCCCATTAGCCTGAATCCAAAGCTCAAATTCTTAGGTATCAGACTATACTGCATTATTTAGAAATCTGGAAGGTTTGTTAGGAATTTGGAGGTCTTTCTGAAAGGAATCAAAGGGGAGACTGACATCTGACCACATGATGCAAAGACCACTGGAGAAGACTGTTGTTGGGAAAGATTGAAGGCAAAGGAGGAGTTGGCAAAGGATGAGATGGTTAGATTGCAATCACTGATTCAGTGGATGTGAATTTGAGGAAACTCCAGGAGATAGTGGAGGACAGAGGAGCCTGGTAAGCTATAGTCCATCGGGCTGCAAAGAGTCAGACATGACTTAGCTACTGAACAACAAAACAAAGAGCAGTGAGTGTGGGAGGAGAAGAAAATGTGAATAAAATGGACCCCGACACACAGAATGAAAGCTATCTTCCATTCCTCCCTCCCACATTCAAGCCATCCAACACTCTCAAAGGCAAATCAGTTCATCAGCATCAAAGAGCAGTTATCTTCCAGTCAAAAGATGGAGAGACAATCTAGAATTATCAGAACTTGGAATAACACCATGAAAATGATCAAACTCAATGCACAGGAAGAAATATATGATCTGCAACAGCACAGATTTCACAGAGCACACAGAAGACTAAAAGAGTTCAGCAGAAACTAGCACAATATTGTAAAGTAATTATACCCCAATAAAAAATTATGATCTATTGAATGATAAGTATGTAGGAAAAAATAATTTTAGGTGATGCAGGTCAAGTAAATTAAAACTCACAAGGCAACTTTATTACTTTTATTTTACTAGAAATGATGTATCTGTTCTTCATTGATTTAAAACAGATTTTGTTCTTGTTTTGAATTAAAACAGAAAAATTCATCAAAGTGTCAAAAAATTATATTCTGAGATACATAAGAAATGGATCCTACCCATTAGAGAACAAGCCTGCATGAAAAAAAAAATTAATGGAAAAGAAATATTGGACTCAGAAGCAAGGTTGGTGCATTAAGAGCCATGCTGGATAGCAGAAAGGGAAAGGGCATTAAGCAAAGGAGGGCGCTGAAGAAGGGAACGCCATTGTTTTTGCAGAGTGCTAAGGGGCAGAGAAAAATCTGGAGAAATGGAAGCTTGACTCAGACTTCACTTTTCACCACTTCTCTCAGTCTCTCGACTCCCTTCCTCTACCTGCACGTTTTATATACTTTTTCTTCTCTTTTGACTCTTCATTTGTGTTTCTCTGTGTGTGTGCACACTTTTGTTTTATAAATAGAATATTACTGTGTCTATATTTTCTAGAATTTTCTCTGTTCATTAATTGTATGACTAGAATTTTCAAATTTTCCTCTATGTGCTTTTCTTGGCATACATTTATAATAGTAATTTTCAAAATAGAAACAAAAATATACTGGAGTAAAGATTTTTGTATGTTTCCCTGATATAGATGCTTACCCATTTATTCAACATTTTTAGCAAGCTGAATTAAAAATTTCTGTTCTGCCTCTGAGTTGCCGATCTGATGAGCAACAGCCACATATGTAAATAGGAATTCACTCATGTTTCTCCAGTTAGTTTTAAAAGGCTTGAAAAGATGTGAATGGGATGCCTAACTTTATTCAGCAATTTAACTAACATTACTGAATATAGTGCAGGTGGCTGACTCTATGGTAAGAATAAATAAAAAATAATGATTCAAGGTCTTTTCCCATTCAGGATTTCAGGATACATTTTCTTGCAGAGGATATGGACACTTAAACAACTATCACACAATTTGCTAAGGCCATGATAGAAGTTTATATAAATTGCTATGGGAATACAGACAAGGAAATTCTCATGGTGCAGAGAGATATCAAGTCCTGAACCAAAGAAAAGGGCACTGTGTTTACTTAAATATATATGTACATATTATATATAATGTAATATAATACATATTATCTATTTATTCATTTTTTAGGAAGAATCAGTGCCACGTGGTGGCCAGCCAAATGGACTGGGAAGAGAAGGCAGCAAAAAGCTGAGCTGAAGTGACTCAGATACTTCCTTGAAAAACACCTACTTCTTGCTTCCATTAATTAAGATGGAGGAAATAAAAGCATCCTTGAACTGACTTATAAGGAGCAGGGAGAACTGATGCTTTTAGTTTTAAACATATTGTTCTCATATGCTATGGGTCAGCTAAATCGAGCAGCAGTCCTGTAGAGCAAAACTATACCGTGTGTTTCATAATTTTTATATTAAACATAACATTAAAACATTAACATAGTAAAGGCTATGAGAAATTTTATGGCAAAGAAACTGGCTGAGTTGATTTAATCTTGCTTATTTTTGTTTTCCTAAGTATTGCTATATCCTGTAGAACAGGTAGCTAAGAGAATTTTGAAAAATATTATAATATTCACACATATGTTATAAGGCTCTCTGAGAAGCATATCGTTAAATCTGGATGTTTAGTGAGGCCTTTATCTACTTTTCTATGCCAATAGAATTAAATACCTCTTCTGTCTTCACAAGGTTCCTTTAGGCATCTCGATGAAACCAACAAGTATTAGATACTTTTCACTTAAAATCATGGCCATGAAGATCAGAGGGTCATCTCTGAAAAATCCTGGTAATGAAGGTTATCATTTTTGAAATACTATGTCAAAAACTGATTTGCATTGCATTGCTAGCTGTGTCCCACACTCTTGATTTGTGTGGAGTGTAATATGGTACATCTTCCATGCATCTTCCTGGGCTGGGAAGATCCTCTGGAGAAGGGAATGGCAATCCACTCCAGTATTCTTGCCTGGAGAATCCCACAGACAGAGGAGCCTGGCAGGCTACAATCCATGGGGTTGCGAAGAGTCAGACACAACTAAGCAACAAACTCTACTACTGCTGTGTGCGTGTAAGAGAAGACAACCAGTGTCTCTTCACTGTTGCAGTGGGAATTGATGATTTAGAGTAATAATGTTGTCCTACTTCTTCAGCCCAACAGGGCTGCCTGAATGTCAGAGAACGAAATCCTTAACATCAAGCACCACCTCTCACCCTGGTGAGGACACCAGATTGAGGTCAGTTCTTGATCCCTAAACCCACTCCTGCTGACCCTGAGGTCACGATCAGCCTGAGCTCTGACCAGACACCACAGGTACCCGCAGCCTCCATGTGACTGGTGTGGGACACGCCGTGGCTGCTGGCTGTCACTCAGCCCAGGAGACGGCACCTTTCTCTCTCACTGTGGGGGCCCGTCTCGTCAGCGGCCAGGTAGCCCCATTAGGAGACAGACCGAAGCAGCCCGCTTGTCATGTCTGCAGTGGTTCCTGAGCCAGGAGTGACAGAGGGGCTGGCGTGGGACTTGGTCATGGAAGCAGCACCCTGCTGTACTTGGATCTGAGGTCTAGAGGTGATAGAAGTCCAAGGCTTGGAGTTACAAGGAACCGCAGGGCAGACCAAGAGTCAGACACACCACCCAGGTGACCCAGCCTGGACCTGACGTCCCAGAATGAAGGCACTCAGGATGACGTAGCTTGAGGCCAGGGTCTTCGCCAGGGGATGACATGAGTGCTTCCTGGAACCGAAACACCCTGAGTGTTACCACCACGGGCCACAGCCTTGTTAGGGTGTCAGCACTTGGCCAGGATGCAGCTGGAAAACAGGGTGAAGTCCCAACACTCCTGTTTCCACGCCAGAGACTGGATCTGTCTGGGAGGAGTCTGCACGGGTCACCTAAGTCTCAGCATTGGAGGCTTCCGAGGTCTCACCAAGGGGACATTAGCGCCTCGCTCCTGATACTACAGGAGAGAAAGTCAGGGCAACATCTTCAGCTTCTCTTGACCTGTCACCTTCCCACTTTGTCCGCTCGGCATCTCATGAGATAGGAGACTTACATGATTGTTAGGCTGAGGAAGACTAGAATATTTAGTCTTTTCCCTTTCTGAGCAGGGGCCACGGAGTGCAGGCATTTCCCTGACCCTCTGTGCAGTCAGCTTACCCATCCAGTGCTGGCTTGGGACGCTGAGTCAGTCCAATATGGGTTGGGTAAGAACTACCTTTTGGGCTTTCAGACTAAAATATGTTCCCTAATCTTGTCTTTACCACCAGTGGAGAAATTATTTATTCTTCCACAGGCCTTAGTATTTTCTCTTATTTTTGACTTATTTCTCAGTCTAGAACCTAGGCAGGAAAGAGGTTTATTATTTACTGAACACTCATGGGGTTCAGGACAAGCCGCTCCCAAATAAGGAACTTTGACATATTGATTATTTTGAATTAAATTGACCTAAGAAGCAGTTGTTAGAAGAAGGACACTTTCACCCTCTTCTGTCTCCTTGAAGAAAGAAAATCAATCTCTCACATGTAAGATACTCTCTGCGTGCTAGGAGGTGAGAGACATCCTTATCACCAGGAATGGGGAATTCAGGCTGAGAAGGATGTGTCCACAAACCTGTTATTTCTTTACTCATTAACTGCCCCAAATTCAAATTTCTTTACCTTGTCAGTTCCTCACAAATTTATGTTTTGTCTAAAAGGTATAAAAATTGCCTTCTTTGGTCACTCTGAGTATCAAAGTTTCATGAACCCTTCTGTATATAAAATTGTAAAATGCTTCTTCTCTTATCAATATATCTTGTGCTAATTTAATGATTTGTTGTTGTTGTTGTTGTTTAGTCGCCAAGTTACGCCCAACTCTCTAGTGACCTCATGGACTGTAGCCCACCAGACTCCTCTGTCCACGGGATTTCCCAGGGAGGAACACTGGAGTGGGATGATTGACCAACCACAAAATCAAGAAGGGATGAAGGAAAAGTTTCCTCCCCTACAATCCCCTCGACAAGTCCCATGGCTTTATTAATGATTCAGGGAAGTGGCTCTGTGGAAGGTCTCACAGATTTTTCTCTCAGACGGTTGACTAGATCTGGGAAGTGACACTTATTTGTGCTAAGTAATGCCCTCAGCATGTTACACACAGTATATCTTATTTCATCCTCACAACCTACAGATTAGGATAAACATTATTAATACTGCTGCCTCAAAAGAACCAGAGGCTCAGAGATTTTCAGTAACTTGTACTGTGTCAGGCAGCTTCTGAATTCCTTGCTCTAGCCTGCCCAGGCTCTGTGCCATGGGTTACTTGGAATTTCTATGGAAGCCAAATGGTGGGCCTTCCCTTCCTGCCATATTTAATCCAGCTCAGTTCAGCTCAAACTGGAGGAGAATTAAAGTCTGGTAGTTTGGAAGAGCTTGATGGTTATGAATGACGATGCTGGGAGGGATTGGGGGCAGGAGGAGAAGGGGACGACAGAGTATTAGATGGCTGGATGGCATCACCGACTCGATGGACATGAGTTTGAGTAAATTCCAGGAGTTGGTGATGGACAGGGAGGCCTGGCGTGCTGCGATTCATGGGGTCGCAAAGAGTCGGACATGACTGAGCAACTGAACTGAACTGAACTGAATGAGGATTCTAAAGTCTCTCTCACTTTGTATCCAGTTCTAGCTTTGTCATCTTCGACAAATGATATATGGATATCAAGTGTCCATTTATTTTACCTAAAAGTCAGCAAAGTAAAAGTCCTTACCTCTTAAAGTGAAATGAGATGTTGCATATAAAGTGTGTAGCACAGAGCCTGGAACATAGTAAGTAAACTATGTTGTCCTCAAAGCCTGATGTGTAAGTCACAAGTGTTTAACTATGTTTTCTCCTAGTCTGTATTGCTGTTTCTTATGAGCAAGTGCACGGTGAAAATAATTTATGTATACCATACCAGTGTGACTCATTCAAATAACATACATGCCTTGGTCACAGAATCACTTGTAATCATACCTCTAGATTTCATGCTTTAATTTCCAGAAAAATGCATATGGAATTTGTTATGGGTGTGGGGGTATGCTTCCATAAAATAAAAATTAGATTTTTATTTTCAATAAATTCACTCACTCAGAAAGGCCTAGAATTTGTGCCTTTTTCTAGAAACGCTGCCTTTTCGGAGCCCCATCCCTCTTATTGGCTAATTCCCCTACTCAGGCTTCATACCCCAGAATGAAAATGCTTCAAAGAGGCTCTTTCTGAACACTGGGCTCTGAGTCCCCTAGCTACAGGCTCACCAAGCAGGTGTTCCTTTCCGTTCTGTATCTTTGTAATGATTTGCGAACCAAACAAGACTTGAGTCATGTCTGTCTTATTTGGTACTCTTTGCCTAGGATCGAGCACAGTTGTGGAGAGGTCATACATATCTGTCAAGTTGAGTTGATTGAAAATGGTCCATATTATGTCAGATAAATGAGGGCAAACCAACATATATATGACATTTACCTTATGCTAGGCATTTAACAGACACAACTACAATTCATTCTTAACACTTCCACATGATACCCAGTATTACCCATACCCCTACTCACCCCGAAATGCTGAAGCTTAGTGTGGTTAGTATAAGGCCCAAAGGTTATCAGTTGATTATCAGCAATTGGATTCAAAGCCTGGTATATTCTACTATAATGCCATCACTTTTATTACTATGTGGATGGATGCAGCAAAACCAATGAGGTACATTTTGATTCGATGGATAGACAGACAGACAGACAGATATTTGTTGATTTTCAGTCACTAAGCTGTGTCTGTCTCTTTGTGACCCCATGGACTGCAGCAAGCCAGACTTCCCTGTCCTTCACTATCTCCCAGAGTTTACTCAAACTTGTGTCCATTGCATCAGTGATGCCATCCAACAGTCTCATCCTCTCTTGTCCCCTTCTCCTCCTGCCTTCAATCTTTCCTAACATCAGGGTCTTTTATAAAGAGTTGGCTCTTCGCATCAGGTGGCCAAAGTATTGGAGCTTTAGCTTCAGTATCGGTGCTTCCAATGAATATTCAGGGTTGATTTCCTTCAGGATGAACTGGTTAGATAGATGATACAGACCTTTTTTTTTCTTCTTCTTCTGAAAGAAAATATGTAACTAAAACACATCAAGAGCAATGTCACTTTATGTCACTCAAACTTTACTAGATCTTTCCAATAGCCAAATGTACAAAATTGCTTCCCAGGTGGTTAAGCTGGTAAAGAATCTGCCTGCTCAATGCAGAAGACACAAGAGACATGGGTTCAGTCCGTGGGTTGGGAAGATCCCCTCGAGGAGGACACGGCAACCCACTCCAGGATTCTTGCCTGGAAAATCCCATGGACAGGGGAGTCTGGCAGGCTACGGTTCATACGGTCTCAAAGAGTTGCACACGACTGAGCATGCATGCACACTGACTGACTGACAAAGTTGTCATCATGTT